TCTTTCTTTCTTTCTTTCTTTCTTTCTTTCTTTCTTTCTTTCTTTCTTTCTTCCTTTCTGGGAGAAGGTTTTGAGACAGGGTCCCTCTGTGTAGCTGTCCTGGAACTCGCTCTGCAGACCAGGCTGACCTCAAACTCCCAGAGATCCACCTGCCCCTGCCTTCCAAGTGATGGGATTAAAGGCGTGCGCTGCCACCACCCAGTCCCCTTTGGTAATAGCTTGTTTTTCCTTTTGAGGAATATAGACTATATGGAACATTTCTATGTTGCTCAGGTTGGACTTGAATTCTGGGCTTAAGCAATCTTGCTGCATCAGCCTTCTGAGTACTTACAGGTGAGCAGCACCATGCATGGCTAAGACATTCCTCCCTTCTGAGTCTCAATTCTGTTTACCTTACTCTTGACAACGTGAATCAAGGTCAGAATCAGAGTCACCAGAATCTATATCTCTTCTCCAAAATATTTACTGAGAACAGCTAGAGCGATTTCTAAGCTCTAGCATTCAAGCCATGTCAAAGAAGAGAGCCAGAAAGGGAAGGGTCCTTGCCAAGGATCCCACAGCAACCTGGCACCATCTCTACTCCTTTATTTTCTCTCTTACCATAAGTAAAGGCTGTCAATTCCAGTATCCTAAAAGCTGTTATGGAACAGGGAGATTTTGTGCAATAGAATTCCAGTTAATTTATGTAGGCATTTTTCTCACAAGTGAAAGGAGCATGATTCCTCATTTTTTAAAGCACGGGCTACACTTAGCTTCTCTGCAAAGTACAGGACAGGGGGAAAGATTAACTTTAGGGTAGATAAATCTCATAGGCATCGCTTCAGCCAGGTGATCAAAGTTACGATCTACAATGATGTCCTATTGATAGTATCTACCTTTGATAGGATGCAATGAAAATGGCATGTTACATTTGTGGTCTTCCTCCCTTAACCCCATAACCCTCTTTAATAAGTAGAAAATAAAGGATAGTTCTCAGTCAGAGGACATTCTACGAAATACTGTTCAACTCTTGACAACTCCAGAGCCTCAAAAAGATAAGGAAACTGCGAAAGTGCCATAAGCAAGAGGAACCTAAGGAGACAGCCATGACGATTAAGGACAGTGTGGTATTGTGGATGAGAACTTGAGATAGCAAAGGGCCATAGTTAAAACTAAGGAAGCCTAAATAAGATACAGACTTTGGATAATCATAATGTGTTGATATTGGTTCCTAAATTGACTAATGTGGAATGTAAATAATAAAGGAAACTGGCTGTGAGATAGTCAAGACTTCTCTATATTTTTTTGCAGTATTTCTCAAATCTAAAACTGTTCTGAAACTTATAAAAAAAGGATCTTTTAAAAATGTCCAAATTCCAGCACTCAGGAGGCAGAGGCAGGCGGATCTCTGTGAATTCGAGGTCAGCCCGAACAAAGTGAGTTCCAGCACTGAGAGGGCTGTTACACAAAGAAACCCTACTTCAAAAAACAAACACAAACAAACAAACAAAATTCCGAATTCAGCTGGGACACAAAGAAGTAGAGCTAGGCGGAGCTCTGTGAGTACGAGGGCAGCCTGGTCTACAGAGCTAGTTCCAGGACAGCCAAGGCTACACAGAGAGACCCTGTCTCAAAAAACAGAAAAAACCAAAACTGAACAAATTTCCAAATTTGTACACAGCATGCCACTCTCATCTGAGGTACAGATAAGCCCACTTCCACAGGGCTCTCCTTCCGTGTTCCTGGCCATCAGCAGAGGGCATTTCCAAAAACGCAAATTTGATAAAGCTGTTCTGCAAAATAAGGCTTTGGATGAAAAGTTTGGGTGAAAAGTTCACTAGGGTATTTACTTAAAAGGCATCTTTGGGGCTTGAAGTTAAGAGGTTAAGAGTATGTATTGCTTCTGATTCCAGAGAATCAGAGTTTGGTTCCTAGACCACCATTGGTAGGGTGGTGCAGGGAATCTGATGCCTCTTGCCCCCTTGAACACCTGCCCTTACGTCCACCTAT